CACTGTGCCGTGGCACACTAGTGTGCCGTGACATAGTGTAAGGTGTGCCGTGGGAAAAACACTTTTTATATAGTCAATATAGGCACAGAGTTAATTTTTTTTAACATTTTCTAATGGTGGTGTGCCTCGTGATTTTTTTCATGAAAAAAGTGTGCCTTTGCACAAAAAAGGTTGAAAAACACTGTACTAGATCAGGATTTCCTTCTCCTGACAACTGATCTCACAGAAAGTGGTTTTTGATCATGGGACCTTCCTTACTGGATGGGCAGCTCTTGGATGGAGCACATGACCCTGCTTGGGAGAGACCGCTGTGTGGTATTTTCATTTTCAGCAAGTCATCAATGGCTTCCCATTTCCTACTTGGGTGACTTAAAGAACTGTCCATCAAGGATCCCTGGAAAGGAGGGATCCAGACTCATTGTCCCAGACACATCAACCAACCATAACCCCCTCCTTGGCGACAGAATAGTTTTCTGGAAAGCAGAAAACTCAACTGAGCATTTGAGAAGTAGAAGCATAAATATTTGGTTCGTGAGCACCCATCTCATCTTTTCCAAATTCAGTTCCTCCCTCACCCTCCTCCAATGCAGAGAAGTTCGCCATCCATCGTGTGGGGGAAAAAAAATGGTAGAAGAAAATACAATAAGAGAGAGAAAAGAGCGTGCAGGAGGTCAACTCTGCCTATATTTTTTATTTCAGGCACCAAATACCACTTTTAGACCAACCATCCGTGGAGTCTCCAGGATCCATCTTCTAAAGCAGCAGACGACTCCCCCTCCCCACTTTTCAAAGAATGCCTTTTTGAAGCGTCAGAGAGCAACAAATGGTGGTGGGGAGGGGGGGGCAGGAATGTCAGCGTATCTCTCGTCCCTCCAGGAACTCGGGACTCAGCACGAAAGACGCAAGAGGAGCTGAGCACGTGGCTCCTTTACATCTGACTGTGTAAAGAAACGCTTGTTCAGACCAAGGCTTGGACAGTAAAATGGCCACAATAGGTAGATTATAACTACGTATGTAGTGAGGAAGACACCACACCTGGAAAAGGTAAGATTACCAGAAATACTACCTTCCTTGGCTTTCTTTTTTTTTTTTTTTTGGTTTTGTTTTAAACCTTCAAGCCAGTCCATCAACAGTCCAGGACCCAGGAGAGGCTCCCCGGTTTGAACCAGCCCTTAGAATGGGAGTCAAAGTCTATTTTTTTTTGCCCCCCGGAGAGCTTGGTGTGGCTCCATGTTAGCTGCAGCCTCCATCGCATTGTTTTCTATCCAGAGTCCATTGGGTTCCCAATTTCTTTTCCTCTCAGCGTTACCCTAAGGGCAGACCTGCTCAGGGGGAAGTCCTGACGCTGAGCGGTGAGCGGAGCCCCCCTCTCCCTCTGCTGCTAGGCACAGGGAGAATCGAAAAGGCAGCAGCAAGAGGGACCAAGGCCAACGAAGCACAGCCGTGAGAGCAGTTAGACCAACCCCATTGGCAATGGTGGAAGAAGTGATGCCTGGCGGGTGGCCAGGAGCCACCCGTGAACAAAGAGGTGGGGGGGTGGGTGGAGGGAGAGAGAGAGAGAGGCTATTGCACTGAGTGAAAAAGGGGACAGCATCTTACAGACAAGGAGGAGGGGGGAGGGGACTTCTCTTTGGAGGAAGGCAGAATGATTTCAATGGCTGCAGATTTAGGGCCTGTTTTGCTGGAAACCTTTCCTTTAGGGCAGGGAATGTGGCTGAAAGAGCAGAAGACAAGTGACGTCCTATCAAACACCTCTTCTCCTTGCCCCCAAATTACACATGATTCCCCCACTGCCTCCAGGGTCGGGGAAACCAGCAGGCCCCACAGTGGCATTTTCCTTCTGTTGAGGCAGCTATGCTCTCTCTCCACACCCCTAAAGCCAACGTCCGTTCTCCTCCCGTCCCCTCCCCTCAACCCCCCGCAGGCAGACTCTAGCCCTCCGATCCAAAGGGGGGGGGGAGGGCTCTCTTGAGGACCAGTTCAATCATTTCTTTTAATAATGAAAAACGGCGGATGAAGGGGAAAGCCCAGCATGCCCCCGTTTGTGAGTGTTTCAGCTCCTTGTGGAAGAGATTCCCGTCGCTCTCTTGCACCTGTCTGTTTCTCAGCGCACCAGAGGGGAGAGTCTTCTGCGGAGAGCCAAAAGTGGGGGGTGGGTGGAGCAAAGGGGGGCAGCGGAAGAGCCTTGATCAGCAGCAGTGGAGGAGGGGAGAGGGGGTTTCCAAGTGTTATCATCCTTCCTGCCAAAACATGCACCGAAGGGGTGTCAGGCGAACGCAAGAGCTGGAGCCAGGTATCAACTCTTGTCGGAACCACTGTCTCTGTGCAGGGCGCCTTTCTTCATGCTTTCCAAGTACTCCTGTTGCGAAACGGCCAGCACCGAGGCCAGGATCTCATCGTCGTCCCAGTCGCTCAGACCTGGCCAAAGACAGGCAAAGGGGCGAAACGGTCAAGCAGCGGGAAGAGCGGAACGAGGGAATCGTGTCTATCAAGCAAGCTTGGCTCTGCCTCTACCAGCCCAGTCAATGCTCGAGGGTGGAAGCGAGGCTTCTTCCAAACCTGTTTTGTACTGCCGCGTCCCCTGTTCTTTTTGACTCCTCTTGGCCACCATCCTCTTTCATACATGCAGGGTCAGTTTAGCTCCCCTGCCACAAATCCCATTTCCACCAGCTCATTTAATGCTCTGAGCAGGGCTGCAGGGGCTTCTCACGCTAACCACTTGCAGCTTTCCCAGATTCATTTCTACAGAGCCCACAGCCCCTTCGGTGCTGCTGAATTTGGGCGAGATTCCCATCCTTCCCGTTTTTTTTAAATCGGCTAAACCANGCAAGCCACTCCCACAAAGAAGGCCACACCCACAGAGTAGGTTTGAACAATTTTTGAAACCCACCACTGCACTACTCCAATGTTGGAAACAGCTGCATCTTCTTCTAATATCTCCTGAGATGTCAAAAGGTGTGTCCGAGGACATACGTTAGAGGATCCCTCCACCCCAAATCTCTGCTAGCTAAGTTGCAGTGCAAACCCTCCCCGCATGGTAGCGAGTACCAGAAAAGTGAGATAGGATAATGTACTAGCCACATTTACATTATTGAAATACATAAGAGCTCCTGTCCACCTTGTATTTTAAAGCAGAGGAAAGTGTATATGTGAGGGGGGAGGGGAAACCAGGATAAACTAACTGATCAAATATTTTAAATTTGACATCCCGCCATCTGATCTGCAAGATGCAACAGGAACTGTTACCATCCGGGTAGTATTTTTTATTGCTTTTCTATTTACTAAGCTTCATGCAAATAATGTAAGAAGTAACTAGCAGTCAGATAAATGATTCCTGCCCACTTCCTCTTACGTTGGTTTTCTGCTTGTAGTTATTTACAGGGAAGTATTTCCCTAGACACAGCAGCCAGGCATATTGAAAAGACTTCTTATTCTGTCATCTTGGCATTTCCCCCGTTTCTTTCTGCTCCAAGTATGGACCAATCCAAAATACATCCTTAGCATGTTAACCCTCCACTGGCCTGTCTGTGGTTTGCTCCAAAAACATTGGACTACAACTCCTATCATCCCCCCCCATCACTACAACCGCATTTATATTTGGAAGCCAAAATAGTTCAGAACCACTTTTCATTGACCAAAATTGCTCCTGCCTCACTGGAAAGCAACAGGGTTTATTTTGACCCAGCTGCCCTGACCCAACAGAGCTCTTTCATTCAGCAGTCCCAGTGCTGCTTCCAAATAATCCCTCCTTTTGGACTTGAATGTGACAAAAAGCAAGCAGAACGTGGCTTCTGACCTACCACTTTTATCATTAGGATGTCTCTCTTACTTTCTGGAAAAAGTGGATTGTGACTACCAGACTCGGTTTCTCCAGCTGTGGACAGCTTAGCATTTGCACCTAAAATCTATCAGCACAAGCTAGTTTGCAAGCAGAGTTGAGAAGGGATTGGCATTAGAAGACAGGGAGATTGATGGCTGCTATTTATCAGGCAACCCCCCCCCGTCCAATACACAAACTTGAAAAAGGAATGCCAATCCCTGACTGCCACATGTCAATTAAAAACCTGTTCTCTGTTCTCAGAGGTGGCAACACAGCAGGTCACAGAAACCTTCAGGGTGTCACCAAGAGGCACAAGCAGCAGCCTGTTAAGTGACAAAGAGGGCAGACAAGGAATGAGGCCCAGATGCAAAAGAAAAACAGATCCACAGATGAGATTTGTTTATTTCTCCCCAGTAAGAGACTGAAATCCTGCATGCAAAGATGATTTTCAAGTGTCCACCTTCAAGTCCTATCATGCTCCTTAGAATCTCAATTTGTTGCTTTTCAAGGAGGTAGCCCTTATGGCAATAATGATGAGAAACTCCTGTTATTTTCCAATATCCTGCCTCCCTTTTGCAAAGGAACAATGGCTAATGGTACTGAGCATGGATCTCCTCCATTTAACGCACCTCAAAACTATTTGCTTGGTTCTACTAGATCAGTGTTTTTCAACCACTGTGCCGTGGCACACTAGTGTG